TGACTTCGTGTGTGCTACTTTTTTATGTTAGTAGAAATAACTTCGCTCACAAACTAGTAGCCAAACAAGGATTAGCCTAAAACTATCCTGCTCAAATCAGGCTAGAGGTTGATTTACCCCGCTGGGTACGAAAGTTTTTACCCTAGGGGTCTGGGTAAGGAGGGGTCGGAACCCTGATTTGTAAGGGTTGGCCTAAACCAATTTTGGGCCCTGATGATTGTCAAATCATATGTATGCTATATATGTTTAGGCTGTAGTGGGATAGCTAATATAGGGTACAACCTCTATAGGGTTTCATACTTGTACCCAACACCTTCCTAGTTGATTCATTCCTGCTATTAGATTCTAACATGGTTTCAAAGCACAAGGTCCGTAGGTCCGTCTTTTTTTTTTCGGGCCCACCTACCGTTGCGGTTACCGTGCTACCCCACGTGTTGCCATACTGCGCTGCCTACGCACGCCTTCCCCTGCCTTGCCTTGTGACGTGCTGCGCTGCGCGCGCCGTCCTGCAGCCCTCGCGCTGCCTGCTGCTGCCTTGCACGCTGCTCCCCCGCACACTACTCCCCCGTGCGCTGCCGTAGCTACGCGCGCACCGCCGTCGCAGCCTGTGCGCCGCCCCTGCAGGTCCGTAAGGCCAGCGCGCCGCCCCTGCAGGCCAGTAAGGCCCGCGCGCCGCCTCTGCAGGCCCGTAAGGCCCGCGCGCTGCCCCTGCAGGCCCGTAAGGCCCGCGCGCCGCCCCTACAGGCCCGTAACGCACGCGCGCCGCCCCTGCAGGCCCGTAAGGCCCGCACGCCGCCCCTGCAGGCCCGTCAGGCCAGCGCGCCGCCCCTACAAGCCTTTGCCGCCCGCGCGCAGCCTCTGCCCGACTGCGCACCATCCCTGCAAGCCCGTAAGGCCAACGCGCCGCTCCTGCAGGTCCGTAAGGCCAGCACGCCGCCCCTGCAGGCCCGTCTGGCCGGCGCGCCGACCCTGCAGGCCCTTGCCGCCCGCGCGCAGCCTTTGCCCGACCGCGCGCCGCCCCTGCAAGCCCTCGCCGCCCGCCCGCAGCCTCTGCCCGACCGCGCGCCGCCCCTGCAGGCCCTCGCCGCCCGCGCGCAGTCTCTGCTTGACCGTGCGCCGCCTCATCTACGGCCAGCCCGCGCCCTGCACCACCCCGTGCCCGCCCTTGGGGCGGCCGCCCCTGCCCTGCCCTACCGCTGCCGTGCCTGCAGCCACCGTCATGGCCCCGCCGTAGCCGCCGTCGCACCTGCAGCCTCCGTCGCGGCTCTGCCCCGCCGTTGCCGCCGTCGCGGCCCTGCCCAGCCATAGCCACCGTCGTGCCTGCAGCAGCCGTCGCGGCTCCGTTGAAGCCGCCGTCGCGGCTCCGTTGAAGCCGCCGTCGCAGCCCCACTGCAGCCGCCCGTCGATTGCCTGCCGTTGCCTGTTGAGCGCCTGCCCACCGCCGCCGGTGGCATCTGCCCTACCCGCCTCTGGTGAGCACCTGCCCTATCCGCACTGCCCGCGCACCTGCCTTGCTAGCGCGCTGCCGCGCGTGCCACTCCTGACTGCCTACCGAGCCGCGCCGCCCTGCCCTACTGAGCCGCACTGCTCTGCCCTGCTGCTACTACTATTCCAGCTATCACTACCACTATTGCTGCACTGCCACTCCTGCTGCTACTGGCGGTGGCCAGATGCAGCTCTTGCGACGTCCGCGTGAGTCCCTCACGCCCCAGCAGCAAGGTGAGTATTACACTAGTTGGGGTTGTAGGGGTGGCCGTAGTGGGAGTCGCCCTGGAGCGGGTCGTTCGGGAGCTTCTGGTAGAGGCCAGCTGCAGCTCCAGCGGCGTCCGCACAAGACTCTTCCGCCCCAGCAACTTCGTGAGTGGTACGCTCAGAGTCGAGGGTCTCGGAGTACCGTTCGCTTCCCGTACGTCATTCGCACAGGTGATCGGGCTGGTCAGGCTTGCGGGACGATTGGTCACACACAGTCCCGCTGCTTCGCCCGTCTGAGTGACGCCTGGTGTGAGGATCTAGGATCGAGCCCAGAAAAGAGAATGTGAATTGAATCAAATTGAATGAATCACCTGGGTACAACACGATGCTATATATAGGCTCGACACAAGGCCCCGTAACCAGGTGTTACGCGAAGGTTCCGCGGGTCGCGAAGCGTCCCGAACAGATCCTTCCCGAATTCGGTAGGAGGCAATTCAGTGGCAACCGAAAAGCCAGAATTCGGTGCACGCAACCTAGCTCGGTGCTATAACTAAAATAAAATATAGGAAAGCACCTAGCCTAGGAAATCAAGCAATTCATGCATGCATACAATTATCCTATGCTAGAAATAGCATAATAAAGTAAAGGCAAGCAAGCATAGCTGGCATAAGCCGTCGTACTCTCACACGTTCCCCCCTCAAAGCTGGGTGGCGTGAGATACACCCTGCTTGACAAGATAGTCCTTGAGAGCACGGCGTGCGTTGCCCATATCAGCTTCTGCAGCCCAACTATCCTCAGTGGGATCGTATCCCTTCCAGCGTATCAGGAACTCGAGGGTCCTGCCGCCGCGGCGCCGATGAGAGAGGACGCGCTCAATCTCGTACTCGGTTTCGTCCTGCAGAAGAACAGGTGGAGGTGGCGGTAGCTGCCGTCCCTGGAACTGTTGGTTGGGGTCCTTGTAGGGTTTCAATAGCTGCACATGGAAAGCATTGTGAAGCTTCCACATATCTAGTAAGCGCAAGCGGAATGTGACTGGTGTCACGTGTGCCTCAACGAGAAAAGGACCCCAGAAGCGAGGCCGGAGTTTGGATGGGAGGTGAGACAGGTTCAAGTTGCGCGTGTCAAGAAGCACCTGATCTCCGACTGCTACTGAGTGATCACGTCGCAGACGATCGGCATACTGCTTCTGGGAGGTCTGCATCGTGGTGAGTCGTCGCTGAGTCTTCTCCCATAGCTGCTGCATGGTGGTGACGAAGTCATGTGCGGCTTGGACGTGTGCCGGTGTGGTAGGCTGCTGTGGTGTGAGTGGTTCCCGTCCGTAACACAGGAAGAAAGAAGTTTTCCCTGTGGCCCCATGTGACGCGTTGTTGTAAGCGAACTCTAGGGTCGGTAACTGTGTGTCCTAGTGGCTGACGTCGTCCTTGCAAGCTGTGCGCAGTAACTGTTCAACCACTTGATTGAGTGGCTCTGTCTGTCCGTCAGTCTGTGGGTGGTATGCTGAGGACATCGCAAGTCTAGTCCCGAATAATCCCTTGAGCTCCTTCCAAAACTTACTGGTGAATTTGGGGCCTCTGTCTGAGATGAGTGTAGCGGGGATGCCATGGATGGTGATGATGCGGTTGAAGAAGAGGCGAGCAGTTGCTTCTGCTGTGGTGGTGGCGTTGGTCGGTAGGAAGTGCCCCATTTTGGAGAACTTATCGATGACTACGAGGATGGAATCATGTCCCCGTGAGGTCGAGGGAAGTCCTGTGATGAAGTCAAGACTAACGATCTGCCATGGCTGCTCCGGTACAGGTAGAGGCTGAAGTAACCCTGCTTTCTTCTGCTTGCTGCTCTTCATCCGCTGGCACGTGTCGCAGGAGGTGACGAACTGCTGCACATCTGCTGCCATCCGGGGCCAGTAGTAATACTTCGCTATTCCTGCTAACGTCTTGTTGCTCCCGAAATGTCCCGCGTATGGTACGTCGTGGAACTCCTCCAATAGGATATGCCGTAGCGGGGCGTAATTCGGTACCCAAATCTTTCCTGAACCCTTCCTTACCGCTAGGTCTTTGTTCCACTGTAACATTTTCTGTTTCTCTGCGTTGCTATCTCGCCGTCCACGGAGTACCCATGTTGGAATAGACCTTTGAGCAGAGGGTTCATCCCGTCGAGTTGGATGCCTGCTACATGACCTGGGCCGCTCAACGCGTCTGCTTTGTTGTGTAGCCCGGGCTTGTAGATGATGTTGTCGAACTATATATGCTTTAGTCTGTTTAGGCTGTAGTGGGGTAGTCAATATGGGGTACAACACTTTAGGGTTTCCTACTTGTAGTCCTCATGCTGCTCAATGCAATCATTCCTTCCTCAGATTCTCACATGGTATAGAGCAGGTTCCCTAGTGGGAACGCTTCCTAAGGGCCCACCACTAATTTTTTCTGCTCGGAGCGCGCCTCTCTCCTGCCCGAGTCGCACCCCGTGTGCCCTCCCTCCTGACGCGTCCCGAGCCCTTAGCGGCCCGTCACGCCCTCCTCAGGCCCCTAGCGGCCCCTTTTGCGGCCCTTCGCGGCCCCTCTCACGGCCCCTCCACCCTGCCGGCCCCGTTGCCGACCCTAGCGGCCCCTTCGCCGCCCTGCCGGCCCCGTCGCCGCCCTGCCAGCCCCGTCGCCGACGCCGGCGGCCCCGTCGCCGCTCTAAGCGGCCCCGTCGCCGCCCTATCGGCCCCGTCGCCGCCCTATCGGCCCCGTCGCCGACCCTTACGGCCCCGTCGCCGACCCTTGCGGCCCCGTCGCCGCCCGAAGCGGCCCTGTCGCCGCCCTATCGGCCCCGTCGCCGACCCTTGCGGCCCCGTCGCCGCCCTAAGCGGCCCCGTCGCCGCCCTATCGGCCCCGTCGCCGACCCTACCGGCCCCGTCGCCGCTCAACCGGCCCCGTCGCCAACCCTCGCGGCCCTGTCGCCGCCCTCAGCGGCCCCGTCGCCACCCCTTCACGGCCTTGTCTCCGTCTCTGCCGGCCTCTTCAAGGCCGTCAGCAGCCCAGCAGCCAAGGCGCCCGACAGCCGATCCGCCGAGCCGTCCAGCAGCCGAGCCGCCGAGCCGCCCAACCGCCGAGCCGCCCCGCAGCCGAGCCGCCAAGCCGCCGAGCCGCCCAGCCGCCGAGCCGCCCAGCCGCCGAGCCGCCCATCAGCCGAGCTGCGGAGCCGCGCGGCAGCCAAGCAGCTGAGCCGCCGAGCCGCCCAGCAGCGGAGCCGCCGAGCAGCCCTTCCTTTCGGCGCGCCCCGGCCCTACTTCCCTGGACTGGTGAGCTCACTCCCTATTGACCACTGCAGTCATGGCTACCCCCAATGTCCTAACCTTTGATACTGAGGGTCGTGCTGTTGACTTTGAGGTCTGGGTCGATGACCTCCAGCTGTTCTTACAGTGCGATAGGGCGGACGGCCTCTCACTGTTTGATCTAACCTCTGGTGTCTCTCCTGCCCTGCCTGCTACTGCTGACAGCACTGTTCGCTCATAGTGGGCCACACGCGATGCTGCTGCACGTCTTGCTGTGCGTCGCCACTTACCGACCACTGAGCGTGCGCACTTTAGCCAGTACAAGAGTGCTAAGACCTTGTACGACGCTGTAGTTGCGCGCTACTCTTCCCCTGCCACTGCTGCGCTTAGCCGCCTCATGCTGCCGTACCTGTTCCCTGACCTTGCTGCCTTTCCCACAGTCGCTGACCTCATTACGCACCTTCGCACTAGTGACAATCACTACCGCGCTGCGCTTCCCACTGATATCTGTGCCAAGAACCCCCCCCCCCCCCCCCCCCCCATGTACATCACCCTCTACTACATAGTCACCTGGCTCCCTGACTCCCTTCGCTTAGTCAAGGACCACTTCCTCTCAGTTTGCCCCACCACACTCACCGTTGACCTCCTCGAGGAGCGCCTCCTAGCAGCAGAGAAGAGCATAGTCGCTGTAGGAGTCTTTCGTGGTGACCCTCGCAACCCCGTCTTTGAGGGGTGTTCTCCCTCCCCCCTCTTGCCCTTTGTTGCTTCTGCTGTTGCGGCCGACCTCGTTGGTTTCGAGTCGGTCAGCGCTGCGTCTGTCCCTAGCGGGAAGCACCGCACCGGCAAGGGCAAGGGGGGCAAGGGCGCTGAGGGGGCCAGTGGGGACAGTGGATGTGGTGGTGGAGGCAGTGGAGGGGGTGGGGGTGGTGGTGGGAGTGGTGGTGGGGGTGGAGGTGTCGGTGGCAGCAGTTGAGGCGGAGGAGGCGGCGGTGGTGGCGGAGGGAGCGGAGGCGGCGGCGGTGGCGGAGGCGACAGAGGTGGCGGAGGCGGAGGAGGTGGCGGTGGAGCTGGTCGCGGCTCTCCACAGAGGAGTGGCTTCGGTGGTGGTCCTCGCTAGCAGCAGCAGCACGGTCGTGAGAATTTGTCCCCTCAGCAGCTTCGTGAGTGGTACGCTGCGCGTCAGCGGGGTGGGGGTACTGGTCCCTGCACCTACGTCCTTCGTACAGGCGACCGCGCTGGTGAGCAGTGCGGGGGCGCGCACTCCACCCAGCGCTACTTCGGCCGCCTAACGGACCCTTGGGTCATCAGTTCCCTAACACCTCAGAGATCCCTCGCTGGGGAGAGCTGTCTAGGGCGGGGGTAGCTATTTTTGATCTTGACTATGATGCTATTCTTTCTACCATGTATGCTGTGTCTACTAGTGATGAGGGTGATTGTTACCTGTGTGTTCCGCCTGACCCGGGCATTGAGGCTGCTGCTCTAGGTGCTGGTGAGGCTGCTACTCCAGGTGCTAGTGCGTCTGCTGCCCCAGGTGCTGGTGAGTCTGCTCTCTCAGGTACTACGTCGGCTTAGGCCTTGCACACCTTCACCCTTGACTCGGGTGCTTCCCGCTCCTTCTTTCGAGACCGCACCACGCTTACGCCGCTTAGTCGGCCGGTTGCGGTCTCCCTGAATCCTTGCTAGCTTCTCCACTGTCTTACCGTGTCCGGCAGCCCCCTCTGGCACTCTGTCAGGTCTCTACCTCCCCTCGTTCTCTACGAACTTGGTGAGTGGAGCTGATCTACAGGATCGGGGGGTTGACCAGTTCACGCCTGCGAGTCAGCGGGTGACCCACTGTACCTATGCTCGGACGGGCCGACACTTGGCCATGTTTACCTGTCACCCGGGGTCGAGCCTGTACACACTGACCACGGAGTCTCCTCCTATTACTGAGTCTGGTCAGGTAGCTGCGTCGAGTCAGGTGTTTGCAGCAGCGTCCAGGTCTTTGACGACCTGGACGACTACTCGCGTTACACCACGGTGTTCCCCTTGCGCAGCAAGGGTGTCGTCGCTGAGGTGCTGATCGACTGGATCCGCGCAGCTCGTCTCCAGCTCAGAGAGAGTTTCGGCTCGGACTTTCCTGTTCTTCGTCTGCATTCTGTCACAGGCGGGGAGTTTTCCTCTGCCCGTCTAGGAGCCTTCTGTCGTGCACAGGGCATCCGCCAGACCTTCACGCTTCCGGCCTCTCCACAGCAAAATGGGATTGCAGAGCGCCGCATTGGCATGGTCATGGACGTCGCTCGTACGTCCATGATCCATGCGGCTGCTCCCGGTTTTCGGTGGCCGTTTGCGGTTCAGTACGCGGCGCATCAGCTCAACCTTCAGCCCCGGGTCTCCTTGCCAGAGACCTCCCCCACCTTGCGGTGGACGGGGAAGGTTGGCGATGCGTCTGCGTTTCGGGTCTGGGGATCTCGGGCGTTTGTCCGCGACTTGTCTTCGGACAAGCTGTCCCCCCGTGCTGTTCCCTGCGTCTTCCTTGGCTTCCCCCCTGACGCGCCTGGTTGGCGATTCTACCACCCCACCTCGTGCCGTGTTCTGTCCTCCCAGGACGTCACCTTTGACGAGTCCGTGCCTTACTACCGTCTCTTCCCCTACCGCATTGCGCCCCTCCCCCCGCCGCCCTTCTTCCTTGCGCCAGGTCCTCCCCCGGTAGACCCCCTCCCCCCTCAGGGTCCTGCCTCGTCAGGTGTGTCCCAGGTAGACGCAGTCGAGCCTGTCGAGGTAGCTGTTGACTCTGGTGCTGCTAGGGGCGCTGTGCCTGCGGGTGCCGGGTCTGGGGGTGCGGAGCCTGGGGGTGCTGAGTCTCGGGGTGCTGAGCGTGGGGGTGCGGAGCCTGGGGGAGCTGGGTCTACTCGTGTGGCCTCTGGTGGTGTTTTGTCGAGGCGCGAGCCCCTCTCTCTGTAGGAGCTGCGCGAGTGGTTTGCCCGGCGCTGGAGCCGTGCTGCTGGAGCTGGAGGTACTACTGTTGCTGCTCGTCCTAGCAGCTTTGGAGCTGCTGGGACTTTGAGTCCTGCTGGGGGTGCTACTGGAGCTGGAGCTGCTGGAGCTGGTGGAGCTGGAGTTGCTGGAGCTGGAGCTGCTGGGGGTGTTGGCGCTGGTGGTTCTGCTGGCACTGGTGCTTCTGAGGGTGCTGGAGTTGGTGCTGTTGGAGCTGGAGGTGCTGCTGGCGCTGGTGCTGCTGCTGGGGGTACTGGTACTGTCCCTGCTGGTTTTGGAGGTGCTGCGCGGCCGAGGCCATACTTCGTTCCGCTCCTTGAGCAGGTTCTTGGTCTCCCGCCCTCTACTGGTCCTGCTCCTCCCTTAGCGTGTCCTCAGCCTGTCCACTCGCGGTCACAGTTACAGCCTGCCTCCCCCCTGCTTGCTCCTTCTCCCTACACTGGTCCTACTGGAGGTCTGACTGAGCGTCGTGAGCCTGCGTCTCGTCCTGCGTCGCCTGTTCGTGCTGCTCGCACTAGTGGTCGTGCTCCGCGTCCGCGTCGTCCAGCGGTCCCCGGCACACACCAGATGGCACTGCGCCCTTCCATTGCTCCTCCGCGTGTCCCGTTGCCGTCTCCTCCAGAGTCTTCTCTTCCTACTCTTGCTGGCCCTGAGTCTGACTCTCTTCATGCTGCCAGTCCTACTGTCACGAGTCTGTCTGTCCTCCGTCCGTCAGAGGTGAGGGCTCTCTTAGCACGGACGTCCTTGAGGACAGGCAGGAGGAGTTCAAGTGTTTTGCTGCTGCTTTGCCTCATCTCGTGTCCACACTGATTGCCCTTGAGGGAGACTCGGATGCACCAGACATCCCGACTCCTCGATCATACGCTAAGGCGATCAAGGGTCCCTACTCCTCACAGTGGCAGTTAGCCATGGACGCAGAGATTGCTTCCTGGAAGTCCACAGGCACCTACGTCGACGAGGTTCCCCCACCTGGGGCGAACATTGTCCGTGGCATGTGGATTTTCAGGGTGAAGCGGCCGCCGGGTTCTTCGCCTGTCTTCAAGGCGCGTTACGTGGCTCGAGGCTTCAGTCACCGGCAGGGAGTTGACTACTTTCAGGCCTTCTCCCCCACCCCGAAGATGACCACTCTTCGGGTGCTGTTGCACATAGCCGCTCAGCGCGACTACAAGCTTCACTCTCTTGACTTGAGCACATCTTTCTTGCACGGCAGCCTGCATGAGGAGATCTGGCTGCGCCGCCCACCTGGCTTCACTGGGTCGTTTCCTCCTGGTACCCAGTGGAGCCTCCGGCGGCTAGTCTACGGTCTCCTCCAGGCGCCCCGTGAGTGGCACGACACACTGAGGACTACACTTGCGACTCTTGGGTTTGCTCCTTCTACTGCCGACCCGTCGCTGTTTCTGCGCATCGACACCTCTTTGCCGCCGTTCTACATCCTCGTGTACGTCGACGACTTGGTCTTTGCCACTGCTGACACTGCTGGACTCGCCCACGTGAAGTCCGAGCTGCAGAAGAGACACACGTGCACAGACCTGGGTGAACTGCGCAGCTACCTTGGCTTGCAGATCACGACAGAGCACAGCGCACCATTACCCTGACTCAGTCACAAATGGTGCAGCAGGTCCTTCACGTAATCCTCGCCTCAGGCCACTCCTCTGTCTACTCGCCACTCGCTCTTAGCTCTGCCTTCGGATGAGTCCGTAGAGCCGAGTGGCCCGTACCCAGAGCTTGCTGGCTACCTCATGTACCTGATGACCTGCACACGACCTGACCTAGCATACCCTCTTAGCATCTTGGCACGCTATGTGGCTCCTGGGAGACACGGACCAGAGCACATGGCTGCAGCGAAGAGGGTGTTGCGCTACTTGTGTAGTACGTCGGGCATGGGGCTAGTGCTTGGAGGGCGACGTCCAGTGGTCCTCACTGGTCACACAGACGCTTCTTGGGCTGACGACCAGGCTACGCAGCGGTCGTCACAGGGTTATACCTTCAGCCTTGGTTCCGGCTCTGTCTCGTGGCGGTCTACCCGCTTCTTGGCGAATCCTAGGAACTGCTCCAACTCCTTCACGTTCTGCGAAACTTTCCACTTCTTGACGGCTTCGATCTTCCGCGGGTCCACGTGTACGCCCTCGACACTCACCATGTGCCCGAGAAACTGCACCTTCTTCAGGGCGAAGTCGCTCTTCGACAGCTTCATGTAGAACTTGTTTTTCCGCAGGATCTTGAACACCTTCCACAGATGCTCCACGTGCTCCTTCATGTTCTTGGAGCAGATAAGGATATCGTCCAGGTACACCACTACGCATTCGTCCATCAGGGGCCGTAGAATATGGTTCATTTCCACCTGGAACGTTGCTGGTGCGTTGTAGAGTCCGAACGGCATCACCAAGTATTCGTAGGAGCCGTATCGAGTACGGAACGCCGTCTTGTGGATCGAGTTGTCCGCCATCTTGATCTGCCAGTAACCCGACCGTAGGTCCTGCTTCGAGAAGACTGTTGCACCACGCAGTTAGTCCAGTAATTCGTCGATGCGCGGTATGGGGTATTTGTTTTTGACTGTCTGTTTGTTCAGTGCGCGGTAGTCGATGCACATCCGTAAGCCGCCGTCTGGTTTAGGATTGAAGAGAATTGGTGCACCGTAGGGAGAGGTGGATGGGCGGATCAGTTGTCTGTCCAGTAGATACTCTATCTGTTTCTTCATGTCTGTTAGTTCGGTCGGACTCAGTCGGTATGGTGCAAGTGAGACGGGTTTCGCACCTGGTTCCTCCACGATCTCATGCTCGTGGGTGCGTGCTGGAGGTACGCCTGCAGGTAGGTCGTCGGGCATTATATCTTTGTACTGCTCCAAGACCTCCTTCACTGCTGCAGGGAGCTCGGAACTCGGCTTCTCCTCCTCTGCTGCTGCCATTACCAGTGCTAGGTAACCCGTGTTACTCTCGTTCAGTAACTGTTCGAACCGTGCCAGTGTTGTCTCAGGTACGTCCCCTGTATCTGTCCAGCTTCGTAGTGCTATCCGCTTCCCGTTGCTGTAGATGCACACCTTGTTGTTGAACCAATCGATATCGGGGTTGAACCGCTTTAGAAAATCTCGCCCCAAGATAAAATATAACCCGTTGATGTTGGTGACTGGTAGCTTCGGCTTCCACCTCAACGCACCTATATGCAGCTACAGTGATGCTTCGCCGTGGATAGGAAGTTTTGTACCGTCCACCATGGTTGCTGAAAACTGGGTCTCCTCCGCCTTCTCTCCAATTTTCTCCAATGCTCCGCGGTCACACACCGAGTGAGATGCACCGCTGTCCACCAGTGCCTGGAG